GACTCTACTAAAGCATAAAAATATCATAATATGTTTGCAGATGTTTAAGAAACATGCTAAGTTAACATATTTGTTTATCTGAAAAACAATGCTACAGTCAGTTATTCTCCTTTGAAAATGTGCGTTCCGGGCCGGAATGTCGGTCTCTGTTTTGGTTTGTGAAACCCGCCCACTGCCAGTTTACCCAATTGTATTTCGGCACCCCGGGTTGCCAGTTGGCGGGAAACACAGCGTATTTCATTTCAGTCATGGAAGCTGGCAAACGAAAGTGTTGGTGTCGTCAATCTGGCAACCTGCGTGTGCGTGAAGTCTGAGGAGGAGTTGAATTTGGACTGCAATACCTAGTTCAACCACTCGGTGTCAATCCTACATACAGCACCTTTAATATGATTTGCAGAATATTAATCCAGATTCAGAATTTAAACTTCCTGTGTCCCACGTGTACTTTTTATTTATTTTTGTATTTTATTGTTTTATTTTTGCCATCTGTTCACTTTAATTTCCACTTTTATCCAAAGTGATTCACAGATGAGGGATACAACAAGTGATTTCTGGCCTCAATTAAAGTCGAATAGCTCTGAGGCTCCAGCCTTATTTTATCAGCGTGTAGCAGTCGATGGCCTGTTGCTCATCCTGCTGTCTGTCTGTGCTTCTGCTGTAGGTACCTGATGTGCAGTCATACTGATGACCTGCGTGCTAAAGCTGAATGGGAAGGGAAAGGGACGGCCGCACGATCCAAACTCCTCGACAAGCTGCAGAGTGAGTTCACAGAAACACATACGCATAAATAAATATGCTTGTGTTTTAATTTAAGGGAAATATTAATAAATGGTTCAAACGGACTTTCAGAAATATTCTCTGGTCAAGCTTAGACACTTCACTGTATTATTTTATATGTGTCTTAATTATATAATTATAACATGATTATTACACAATGGAAAGAACATTAACATGATTCCTAACAGGACTGAAATATTTTTGTAATTAGAGCAAACAGGGTTAAATGTTTTATCAACTGATACCACAAGACATCTCAGAATTGATCAAATCCATTGTTAAACCTTACTGATGTTTGTGCTACTGATGTCACTTCCTGGAGGATGATGTCATTCGGGAACTGTTGTTAGTTAAAGGGATATTATAAAAGACTAACAGGATTGATGTGATATTGGGGACGGGAAAACATTTAACCCTTGTGCTGTGCTGAAAATTATTTAACTAATTAGGTTTTAGGTATTTGTGTTTCTTTTTGGAACTGATTGATCATAGGCCTGATCGGAGCTCATGCACCTCAGGTTTTGAGTGAAAAAGCATGGTTTGTGGATCATTTTGGCAATGTTCACTCAAAGACTGAGGTGCATGAGCTCAGCTCAATGAGGCCTACAATCAGTCCGTTCCAAAATGAAATACAAAACCTGTGCTAATTAAAAGAAAACAAGTTGATAAATAGACTGAATCCAATATTTGGTAATACAATAGCATAATGAGAAATTCCTAAGCAATTGTTTGTAGGCTGATTTTTGAGTGGGGACACCACAAATGTAACGAGGTGGGAAAAAAAAGTACAAAAATGGCTTTGGGAAGGTTTTATATCCTGTGTGAGCAAAGTCATTAGTTTTTAGTCCAGTAACATTGTCCGCTTTTTCCGCTTTAGTCCAGTAACATTGAAAAAATATCAAATCTCTGGGTCAAAATGACTGGAACACAACATGAGGGGTAAAATTACAATGTTTTGTTTAAAACATTTCAATTAATAATGAAAATAAGACAAATTTGAAACAATTAAAAAAGTATTGTACCTTAATAAATTGTATGTTTTTAGTGTAACACCATGACGAAAATGTCAACAATGGCTTATTTAATTATTTAATTTGATGTAAATGATTCAAAATTCACTCTGATGTTCATTTGATTGTGACAAGAAAACTAAGATGATTTCTATATTTTAATAATATTTATGAATTACATTTAAATGATAAGGTATGTGCTGTATTGATTATAGTAACAAGCTGATAGACACACAATTTTTTTTTATTTATTTAGCAAATTCATTAAGCTGCATCCTTCTGCTAGAAGATCTAGTTCTTGACAAAACAAAACTTATTTGCTCAAAAAAAACTAAAGTTGACAAATGATTGGGACATGAATATGTACTGCGCAGACATAATGCTCTATCTGAGGATTATTTTTTATTATTTGCTTAAACAATATTATTCATTTTTTCATTAATTCTGTTCACTTCTTCCTCTCTTCATCCCCTCTTTTTTTTTTTCATTTGTACAGTTTCATGTAATTCTTTTTTTCAGCTAGGGTTCGGGTCAGTTCTATTTCAGTTCAGCCAATTCAGGAGATGAATTGAATTCGGGTGCTAACCTAAAGAGCGTGAAGGACCAGCGTAGATGTGACTTTCACTTGATGTCCTGTGTTGGCTGAATTCAGATGAAACTGAGTCTAACCCTCTCTGCTCCATCTCTGTGTCTCTCACACAGCGTACCTGCCTCCGTCTGTGATGCTGCCGCCCCGTCGTCTGCAGGAGCTCTTGCGTCAGGCCGTGGAGCTGCAGAGAGATCGCTGTCTCTATCACAACACCAAACTGGACAGCGGACTGGACAACGTGTCTCTGCTCATAGACCACGTGTGCAGCAGGTACAGTCGTCAGATTTACATATATTGTCAGTGTTTATGCAAACGATTTGAACAAGATCAGACACGAGCTCTGTTCCAAACTCTAGTGAGTTGCTTCGCTGTCTACTAGTAGCTTTTTAATATTTGATAACACTTCAGATTAGGGAACACATATTCACTACGAACTAAGAGTTTTCACTTCAATAAACTCCTAATTTGCTTCTTATTGATAGTAAGTAAGGTAGTTGTAGAAGTTAAGTTTAGGTATTAGGTCGGGTTAAGGCATCTAGAATATGATCATGGAGAATAAAGCATTAATATGTGCATTATAAGTACAGATAAACAGCCAATATGCTAGTAATAAGCTTTAAGAGCAAATAAAGCTTGATTGCTTACCTTTTGAAAAACTAAGAAATCAATATGCATCAATATTGGTGTTGTAATTTTACAGTTAAAATACTATAAAGTAATTCTTTTATATAATTATTTTTTATTAAATACATTTTTTCAAAGTACAAATCATAATTATTTAAGTCATATTGAATGCATCAAAAACATTGTGGCCTCGAATGGAAAGAGATTTTTTTTTAACTCTTTAAATACACTTTATAGTTCCCGAAAAAGGTTTAAGCTGGTTCTTGTAAAGAGTATGCCCAAAGTTTTTCCCAAAATTGTTCAGAGCTAAAAGCTCTCAAATTCTTCAGAGTAGTCATATTTAGCTTTTTTTTTTTATTTTCTTTGCGAGTGATTCAAAATCACTCACTGCTCTGAATTTGTCTATATTACTGTTTAATTGAATACACGTAGCCTTCTCATGTTTACTTCTTTGAGAAGGCAACATGCTATTATTTTAATGAACCTAGCAACAGCATATATGTTTTTCTTTTGATACTAGAATTAGTGTGAAATTTCACTGGTACTGAAACGATTCGGCTCACTTTGTGTTGGAGCAGAGCAGTGGTCAGTGCACCTGCAGTGCCTGTTTTTTTCATATATATGAGATCGTGTCATTGTATTTGTCAGTATAGTCTGATGTAGGCTCTTTAATGAATACAAGTTTAAGAACAAGTTGGGCTCTCTGAAATGCATTGACTGTCATCTCCAGGAAGCAGTTCCCCTGCTACACCCAGCAGATCTTGACCGAGCACTGCAATGAAGTCTGGTTCTGTAAGTTCTCCAACGACGGCACCAAACTGGCCTCGGGATCCAAAGACACAACAGTCATTATTTGGCAGGTTGACCCTGTGAGTGACCTTTCCCTCATAACCATCTAATAACCAGTGCTGGGTAGATTACTTACAAATTGTAGTCCATTACTGATTCCAAATGACATGACAAAAATTGTCGTCCGTAACGCAGTCCATTACATTAAACATATGTGACCCTGGAGCACAAAAGCAGTCTTAAGTCGCTGGGGTATATTTGTAGCAATAGCCAAAAATACATTGTATGGGTCAACATTATTGATTTTTCTTTTATGCCAAAAATCATTAGGATATTAAGTAAAGATCATGTCCCATGAAGATATTTTGTACATTTCCTACTGTAAATATATTAAAACTTAATTTTTGATTAGTAATATGCATGGCTAAGAACTTCATTTGGAAAAATTCAAAGGTGATTTTCTCAATATTTAGATTTTTTTGCTCCCTCAGATTCCAGATTTTCAAATAGTTGTATCTCAGCCAAATATTGTCCTATCCTAACAATTATTATTTATTCAGCTTTCAGATGATGTATAATTCTCAATTTCGAAAAATTGACCCTTATGACTGGTTTTGTGGTCCAGGGTCACATATAAGGTAATATAATTTGATTACTTTTGAGTCAAACTCGTTTATCACATTGATGTAAATCGGTTATTTTGATATAAAAATACAAAGGGAAAAAAAATGTATTCCATTTGTTAACTACGTGAAGTGGATTAAACATTACATTACTTCAAGGTTTCCCCAAACTGGGGTTCGTGAAGGAACTGAAGGAGTTCCGGGAGTTTAATGAAAAGCTAATAATTAATGAAATCATAAAATTGTAAAACTAAAATAAATCCATTAAAAAAAATAAATAATCAAATCAAAATAAAACACTTACTAAAAATGATGAAATATTTTATTGGTTTACCTCCATGTCATGTGACCTTTAAAGGGGTCATATGATGTGATTTCAATTTTTCCTTTCTCTTTGGAGTGTTACAAGCTCTTGGTGCATAAAGAAGATCTGTAAAGTTGCAAAGACTAAAGTCTCAAATCCAAAGAGATATTCTTTATAAAAGTTAAGAGTTGTCTCGTCGTTCCGGGACACGGCATCACAATATGGTAAGAGGCGTAACATTTTCGTCACACGCTTGAGGTATTCGGCCAATCACAATGTGTTACTTAACTATTAAAATACCTTAAAATCTCAAGGAGACTTCAAGTAGATATATTAGGTGAACATTTAAAAGATGAACAACAAGAATTTGTGAGACTCAATCAATTATGAATAATATATTGCTGTTGTGTGAATAATATAAGCATGTAATCTGTAGTCTGATTACGAGTATTTTAAAATGTAATATAATCTAATTACAAGTAATTAATTTTTGGAATCTGATTACGTAATCCAGATTACATGTAATCAGTTACTACCCAGCACTGGAAATAGCGCAGCATTGCGCTCACGAGCCAAGAGTCTGATGGTCAGATGTTTTGACAGGACTCTCACCAGCTCAAGCAGCTGAAGACGTTGGAGGGTCATGCCTATGGGGTTTCCTATCTGGCCTGGAGCCCCGATGACACGTATCTGATAGCGTGCGGCCCGGACGACTGCTCCGAGCTCTGGCTGTGGAACGTGCAGGTGAGGGTCTCGCCCGCTCAGATTCCTTCCACCGGCTCGTCTCGGTTTAATCCGCCGCTCTGCTCCTCCAGACAGGGGAACTGAGAACCAAAATGAGCCAGTCCCATGAGGACAGCTTGACCAGCGTGGCCTGGAATCCAGACGGCAAGCGTTTCGTTACCGGAGGTCAGAGAGGCCAGTTCTACCAGTGTGTAAGTGCCGCTGTACAGTTACAGTGTTCTCAGATATAATTGGGTGAATCTCGTTAGCAAATGTCCAGGGCATATTTCAGCCTGACATCAAAAGTTAGAAATCATATTGAATGTTAATTGATTTTGCATTAGGTAGAGTATTGGGCTTTGGTAGTAACTGTATTTAGTTTTTAATGCACAATGTCTTCCTAATTATTAATCAAACACACTGTTTTTTATTAGTATTATTATAAAAAACTGTTTACATTCAATTCAATAAAACCAATACAACCATGATGTATACTTACACTTTTTGAAATAAAAAAAAAACTGTGAAAAATTTTTTTTTGCACATTAATGAGAATTTGTGTGGAAGTGTGCTTAATTATCATGAAAATAATGTCAAAATTCATTAAAAATGAAATATAATTAAATAGACGTATATATACATATAAATAAAAATTTACAAAAAATACACTATGCTGTTCAAAAGTTTGGGGTTTGTAAGATTTTGAAATTGTTTTTTATGCTCAGCAAGCCTGCATTTAATGAATCAAAATACAGAAAGAACAGTAATATTGTGATATTATTAATCATTTAATATACGTTTTCTATGTGAATATATAGTAAAAATTTAATTTATTTCTGTGATCAAATCTGAATTTTCAGCATCATTACTCCAGTCTTCAATGTCACATGATCTTCAGAAATCATTCTAATATGCTGATTTATTATTATCAATGTTGAAAACAGTTGTGCTGCTTCATATTTTTGTGGAAACCGTGATGCAGTTTATTTTCAGGATTCTTAAAAGTTCAAAAGAACAGCATTTATTTTAAATAGAAATCTTTGTAACATTCTAAATGTCTTTACTGTCACTTTTGATCAGTTTAATGCATCCTTGCTGAAGAAAAAAAAAAAAAAAAGATTTTACTGACCCGAACCTTTTGAACAGTAAGTGTATATATTTTTGGAGTGAAATATAATCCAGGCCTGTTCACAGACAGTATTTTGAATAGTTTCTGTTTTATGTGTCTAGTGACCGTTTAAGGCACACATTGATAAGTGATGGTGAATGAGGGTGTGTTAATGTTATCGGTCAGGATCTGGACGGAAACCTGCTGGACTCCTGGGAGGGTGTTCGTGTTCAGTGTCTGTGGTGTCTGAATGACGGCAGGACAGTGCTGGCCTCTGATACACACCAGCGCATCCGTGGATATAACTTTGAAGATCTGACCGACAGGAACATGTATGTCGACTGCATTTGTCACTGATCGATGCTGTTATAGCTTCTGTGTGTAGGGGTTATGTGGATGTGTTGGTTTGAGTTTGGTTGTCGTCTCTCACAGAGTTCAAGAGGACCATCCGATAATGTCCTTTACCGTGTCAAAGAACGGAAGATTAGCTCTGTTAAATGTCGCAACTCAGGTGAGTATGAAAACACGGCTGGATGGGCTGTTTTTTTTTTTTGTACTGATGCCAGACTTATTAATTAGTTATGAACAATCTGAGATTAGGGTGTGATTCCAAGAAGTTGTGTGTGTGCAGGCCATGTTAGAATCGCCGTAATTACAATTTCGACTCGTAAAAAGTGCTGACATCCTCTTAGAACTCAAATTAGAATCTTGTAAACTTTGAATTTTCTGAGAGTTCTGACATCAGTTGTATTTGTTAATATTAATTATTGGACCTGAGCTAATGTGAACTAACAATAACACTATTTTACGATGTCCGTTACACATGTAGGCACTATAGTAATACCAGTAAATTATGCATAATTACATGCAACTAACACTAAACCAAACCCTAATCTCAACCCCATAGTAAGTACATGTAGCTAATTAATTAATAAAGTTTAATTGAACTAAACAATAAACTGTTGTTTTTTTTATTAACTAGTAACTAGTGCAAAGGCCCATTCACACCAAGAACAATAACTCTAAAGATAACTATAACGATACCAGTGCACAATATCGTTCTGTTTTTTTCTGCCGCTTTAAATTCTCACGCTCTTTAAAGCACGGTGGATTCTGATTGGCTGTCAGTGTTTTTATCATTTATCAGCTGGAAAAATATTGTTGTGAAAGCGATTCCAATATTATTCCGCTGTGTCGTTGTCATTGCTATTCTTTTTCAATTGGAACGATTTTTAAAACTATCTTTATTGTTATCGTTATAGTCATAGTACTTGGCGGAACGGGCCATAACAAATTGTTCATTGTTAATGCTTTAACACTAACTAATGGGACCTTTTTGTAAACTGTTACCAAATTACCATGTTTGACTTATTACTCACACAGTTAAAGTAATATGTCAGGGTGTGATTTTGTTTTAGCGCTGTATGTTCCTGTCTGCAGGGAGTTCATCTGTGGGACCTGCAGGACCGGGTGTTAGTCAGGAAGTACCAGGGCGTGACTCAGGGCTTCTACACCATCCACTCCTGTTTTGGCGGCTACAACGAAGACTTTATCGCCAGTGGCAGTGAAGGTGAGAATGTCTGCGTCTCAGTATAATGGACTGATCGCATCCAGCAGAGAGCTGATGGGGTTTGTGATCTGCCTGTTCTCTCTAGACCACAAAATTTACATCTGGCACAAGCGCAGCGAGCTGCCCATAGCTGAGCTGACGGGTCACACGCGCACGGTCAACTGCGTGAGCTGGAACCCCACGCTGCCGGGCCTCATGGCCAGCGCCTCGGATGACGGCACCGTGAGGGTCTGGGGTCCCGCACCCTTTCTGGACTCCCAGGAGACCGTGGGGCTCACCGGTATGAACCCCCTCATCTCAGTCAAAATGCTGCTAGTTTGATGTAAGCGGGTAGTTGACATGAAATTGCTAAACTCCATCTAAAAATATTCTGCTGGTAAACTATAAAACAAAGTTAAACAGCATTTTGTCAATTATTTTCTAATTATTATACATGAGCTATATAGCTCAAATGAGTAAGAGATTTATATTTGTACTACTTTGAAAAATTCACCACCGGGTAATTTAAAATGAACTAGCGAAGGCAAAAAAAAACTAAATGAAAAATGTGCTGAAACACCTAAATGGAATGAAATATTAATTAATGATTCAAACTTTCCCTTACACATTCAAATAAAACATTCAAAAAACAAAAAAAGTAAACTTAAAATCTTTAAAAAATAAATAAATAAATAAATCGATAAGCAACGTCAACTACCCAGCGGGGTTATTATACTTAACTAAAACTAAAACCATTACTTGAAATACAGTGTTACCTGAAGTAACATTTTATTTAAAAATAAAAAAACGTATTTTATTTCAGCAACCATTTTTTCCCATTTTTTTAGTTTAACTGAAATAAAAACAACAAAAACTAAACAAATTAAACTTTAAACTGTATAGGCATTTAAAAAAATGTAAACATTTTCATTTAAATGTATAATTAAGAATGTGGCAGTTAATAAATATTAAGTAGGATTGTCATGATACTGAAATTGTAATAGTTTACACCAGTACCAGTGAAAATTGTCTGTTTTCATTACAAACTGAAATGCAATGAAATTAAAATTAGCTTGAGGCTAACATCTATATGCTAGTGTATTCATCAACTTTATCAGATATATATACATTCTAAATTTACAGTCTTGATCTTCTGCAAAAAAAAAAATCCCATTCATTTTCCCCAGATTTTTAACAATAACTTTTTTTTAAAGCAGCACTATGTAACTTTTTCTGTGTTCAAAATTTGCAAGATGTATATAATGAGCAAGTACATCATGAATTCATCTTCCAAACCGCGTTTTTGTCTTATTCCGAATCACTACCGTACACTACGGTACACTTATAATAAGTACTTATATTTGGACTATTGTAGCCTGGTCGGGTCGTCACCGCCGCGGAGTAACACATACCTGCGTGAATCGCCATAGACATAAACTTAGAGAAGTAGCTCCGGTTGGAATGTTCTTCCGCGGGATGTGTGCAGTTCTGTTTATTAACCGCTAGAGCGCCAAAAGTTACATAGTGCTGCTTTAACCAAGAAAGACAGACCACTGAGCTACCAAGTTGTTAGTCGATGGTATATGTTTTTGATGCTCTTTGAAGCCATTTGTTCGCATTATTTCATATTTTCATGTCAACTTATTTCAACCACATTCGTGCTCAACAGTGGAATACCTGATAAAACTACATTACCCATGATTCTGCACAAAAACTTCACTAATCAGAGAATTACAACAAGAAAATCACACTAAAAAGACTCTTTAGCAGCTGCCCATGCCCACAGAGCAGAGATCTCTCTGCATTCTCAAACTGCTTAATATTTATAAGATATGCATATTTTGCTGTAAATGTAAAATGTTTTGTTTATTTATAAAATCAACTTCTTTATTTGTCATTCACAATGCTTAATGGTATTGTAGTTCTTTCCCTCTGTAAAGTTAAGTACACCAATAATCAAAGACTTTTTTGTAACAAACCAAAGTTTGTAATGTGATTTACTTCATAGCTGATTGGCTTATTTTATGGCTTATAATGCTTTAATGAAGACTTAAAAATGTCTGTGGAAAAAAAAATGAATGGGAATTAGCAAGTAGCAAATCATGGATTTGTTGGCTTTGACAAACTAGAAACTATAACATAAAAACCTGATTAAACTTCCTGTTTCAGTAGGAAATGATACAGGAACGAAAATGACTTGTCGTCAAAACATTTCTTGAGATCTTTAAAGGTGTCATGAACTGCCTTTGTTTATTATTTTATACTGTTCTCTGGGGTCCACTTATAATGTTGTCAAGATTTTTACATCAAAAAACATCATAATTTAGAACAGATCAGTGGGCGGAGCTAAACAGGCACTGCTGTAGAAGCAGGCGTTGATCTTCTTCTGTGGAGGCGGAGTTTAGCCACACTATTACATCATAAAGTGGCACATTCCACAACTTCTCGTTTTGTCAGATTGGCTTCAATACAAGCTGTTTTTAGACTAACGAGAAAGTTCTGAGTTCTGAAACTTACAGGATGTTTTTATAGTACAGTGACTGTCAAAAGATGAAGGGATTTTTGATTTCTCAGTTCATGACCCCTTTAAAAACTCCTTTAGAAGTTTTTGTAACTACTAGATAAAACTAAAATCAATATGGAATCAAAAAATACTTTATTTTTGTGTTTTAACCCTTTGAACTGGAGCAGCTAGGTAATATGCTAATTTAAAAAAAAACCCGCTCTCTTGACACAAAATAGGTGTCAAATCTGGACTCTCAGTTGTGTATATTATATATATTCATATATGCAATCTTAACAACTCCTAACTATAGCTTTATCATTTCATTCAGATTCAGGATTTAAACTGAGCTGAACGTAATTTTTAAACAGCTTTTGTTAGTAATGTTGCTGTGGTTTTGGTCTCCATCTCTGCTCCTCTTCTCCTCTTGTAGAATGCTATAGCATGGACAGTTGATGTTGACTCTGGAGCAGATGTCCACTTTGGAAAATATACAGTGAGACTCTTTGTGAATGAAGAATGAGAAATGAAGTAAACGGCAGATGGATGTTTTTTCCTGGCGGTTTCACATCCCCACCCGCAACGCTGGGGACACATGAAGCCGGCGGCTGCCCTTCACCATCTGACTTCACATCCGTGTGGCGACAGCAAGCGCACACGCTACACGCCTCGCCGAGGACACGCCCCTCCTCGGCTCAAGCTCCTCCCCCTCCCCTACACTGCATCCTGAGTGGACGACTGCCTCCTGAAGCCACACCCACCCCCACACACGGACAAACATCACTCAGATCATTATTTATTACGACTTTAATTTATTATTGTGAATGAATCAAGGCCTCCTCAGGCTTGCTTTGTGTTCTGTACAATATTCACTCAGCGAGGGGATAAAAAAAATGTGCAGACTCTCGCACGTGTCGGAGAGAGAACAAATCATATCTTTATTTTTCAGCATGAACTTCTTTTAGCCACCTCGTATGCTTGAAAGTAAGTGTCTTCACCAGCAGAGATATAAGATATTGTTTTCGTTTCCCTCACAGCTATTTTAAATGACTGAATTTACAGGCATTTTTTAACAGATAGATATACGTTTCGATTCAAAAAGTCCAATCATGACCCCACTACTTTTCATTGCTTATGATTCTTCTTTATTCTTGAAATGTAAGATTTATGAGCAGGGTGAAGACAAGCTAAGCTATGCTTGCTAAGATTCACAGCATGCTAATGACACACGAATGAGCCGACGACACGTTCCACATGTAAATACAGGCCTTCAGCGTGCGTACTTTGCCTTCGTTAGGTGTTTGTGCTGGGCTTGAGGTCATTTTTACAGTGAATGTTCATGCTCTCGGTGTGAGGCGAGTGATTTTGTCACGGCAAGTACGTCAGAACGGACTCCCAGATGTTTCGGAGTTCAGTTTCCATCATACTGTTTCTCCTCTTTGGTCTTGTTTTCGCGTATTATCACATCTTGACTTTTTATGTTTGTTTTTTTTAAACGCTTCTCTGACATGTAAATTATTACTCATCAGCTTTTCTTAGTTTTATTGGCTTTTATTTTGGGTTGATTTATTTGTTTCGCTTTATTGCTTTTTTTCCCCCTTGTATTATCATATAACGGATGTCTTTGCAAGTGGCCTCGTAAATGCTTTTTTTCTATTGGTGAATTTCTTATACTTTCGTACGCGTTAGTACACACAGGTGTACCCGTAATGATTTAGGTATTCAGAGTGTCATCACTCGCCTACTATGATTTATTCTGTAATTATGTGCTCTTCATATACAGATATATGAAGAATCTTTAGATATATAAATATATATATAGATATATATACATATGTGTGTGTATTTCTTGCCATATATCCTCCCTTACAAATGTTAACTATTTCTCACCTGCATCAGGTAAACTCCTTGTACAGGTTATTTGCTCCCTGACCAGCCGAACCTGTTCCGTTAGCGAGGAGTGGCGCGCACAAGCGAAAAGACAAAACAGGTGCATGCAGAAACACCCTCACACATATGTGAGATCTTACCGAATCGTGGTGTTGTACATTCTGTTTATGCAACTGAATTTTCCTTTCCTTCTGAATATTTGTGTTACATTTCAGTCTTAGTTTGACTTTCTTGTGCTCTGAGGCGGTATAACAGACGGGTGACGGTAACAGTAGTGTTCTGGTGGAGTTCTGGGCTACGACTAAGTTTATTGCAGTCAGGTTCTGAGGATCTATTTTGCTTTTCAGTGTGTTATTATTCTAAGTGATTGTACTATTATGTAATGTTCTGTAGGAGAGGTGTTATGTATACATACTTTAAATAAAGCATTCAGGGTTTTAAACTATGCAGAGTAAGTCGTCACTTTTGTAAGATGAATGGTTGATCCGAAAGGAATGCTGATGGAATTTCTTTCATAATTTGGAATCAGTCGTGAAGACATCAAATAAGAACCTGTTAGATGAACTGAAATGTTTATGACTTTAAAGATTTTGGATCATTTCTTAATTACAGACCCAAAACGCTGAATGCCATTTTATCCGAATCTTTTGACTGAGGAGTGGCAAGCATTGACTCAGGTGCAAGCACAGTAGGACAGCCAGCTACGCAATGTTCGTTCCCGTTATCTCAGGGAACCGAGGTTACGTTAGTAATCAAGACGTTCCCTTACTGATATGGTTCACTCTCATTGCATCAGTTTAGCTGACCGTTTGGGGAACAAAATTCAATATTCCATTCAATATGGAAACCTGTCCTGTGAGCCCAGCCCTAGGGTACTCAAGGTTAAGGGCCGTAATAGGTTGCATGGGCTAGTATTGGGGAGGAACCACAACTCACCCAAAAACTATTACCGCTTTTCCACTGGGGCTGGTGCCAGAGCTGGAACCAGTGATCGGCCAAGACTGGCACTCGTTCAGAACTGGCTCACATTTCCACTGGCAGGGAGCAGAACCCTCTACGTCACCAACCTGTTTTCATTGCTTATGGTACTTTATTCTGAGAGCGGGAAGTGATGGATGATTATTCTTTATTCTTGAAATGTAAGATTTATGAACAGGGTGAAGACAAGCTAAGCTATGCTTGCTAAGATTCACAGCATGCTAATGACACACGAATGAGCCGACGTCACGTTCCACATGTAAATACAGGCCTTCAGCATGCGTACTTTGCCTTCGTTAGGTGTTTGTGCTGGGCTTGAGGTCATTTTTACAGTGAATGTTCACGCTCTCGGTGCGAGGCGAGTGATTTTGTCACGGCAAGTACGTCAGAACGGACTCCCAGATGTTTCGGAGTTCAGTTTCCATCATACTGTTTCTCCTCTTTGGTCTTGTTTTCGCGTATTATCACATCTTGACTTTTTATGTTTGTTTTTTTTAAACGCTTCTCTGACATGTAAATTATTACTCATCAGCTTTTCTTAGTTTTATTGGCTTTTATTTTGGGTTGATTTATTTGTTTTGCTTTATTGCTTTTTCCCTTGTATTATCGTGTAACGGATGTCTTGGCAAGTGGCCTCTTAAATGCTTTTTTCTATTGGTGAATTTCTTATACTTTCGCACCATATGACGCATTAGTACACGCAGGTGTACCCGTAATGATTTAGGTATTCAGAGTGTCATCACTCGCCTACTATGATTTATTCTGTAATTATGTGCTCTTCATATACAGATATATGAAGAATCTTTAGATATATAAATATATATATAGATATATATACATATGTGTGTGTATTTCTTGCCATATATCCTCCCTTACAAATGTTAACTATTTCTCACCTGCATCAGGTAAACTCCTTGTACAGGTTATTTGCTCCCTGACCAGCCGAACCTGTTCCGTTAGCGAGGAGTGGCGCGCACAAGCGAAAAGACAAAACAGGTGCATGCAGAAACACCCTCACACATATGTGAGATCTTACCGAATCGTGGTGTTGTACATTCTGTTTATGCAACTGAATTTTCCTTTCCTTCTGAATATTTGTGTTACATTTCAGTCTTAGTTTGACTTTCTTGTGCTCTGAGGCGGTATAACAGACGGGTGACGGTAACAGTAGTGTTCTGGTGGAGTTCTGGGCTACGACTAAGTTTATTGCAGTCAGGTTCTGAGGATCTATTTTGCTTTTCAGTGTGTTATTATTCTAAGTGATTGTACTATTATGTAATGTTCTGTAGGAGAGGTGTTATGTATACATACTTTAAATAAAGCATTCAGGGTTTTAAACTATGCAGAGTAAGTCGTCACTTTTGTAAGATGAATGGTTGATCCGAAAGGAATGCTGATGGAATTTCTTTCATAATTTGGAATCAGTCGTGAAGACATCAAATAAGAACCTGTTAGATGAACTGAAATGTTTATGACTTTAAAGATTTTGGATCATTTCTTAATTACAGACCCAAAACGCTGAATGCCATTTTATCCGAATCTTTTGACTGAGGAGTGGCAAGCATTGACTCAGGTGCAAGCACAGTAGGACAGCCAGCTACGCAATGTTCGTTCCCGTTATCTCAGGGAACCGAGGTTACGTTAGTAATCAAGACGTTCCCTTACTGATATGGTTCACTCTCATTGCATCAGTTTAGCTGACCGTTTGGGGAACAAAATTCAATATTCCATTCAATATGGAAACCTGTCCTGTGAGCCCAGCCCTAGGGTACTCAAGGTTAAGGGCCGTAATAGGTTGCATGGGCTAGTATTGGGGAGGAACCACAACTCACCCAAAAACTATTACCGCTTTTCCACTGGGGCTGGTGCCAGAGCTGGAACCAGTGATCGGCCAAGACTGGCACTCGTTCAGAACTGGCTCACATTTCCACTGGCAGGGAGCAGAACCCTCTACGTCACCAACCTGTGACCAGAATCGCTTGTTATCTCTTGCGGAAGAAGATTGAAGATTGCTGACCTGACATATTTAATTGTTGCTGATATTGTTGCTAATTTACCTGAACTCCGATGGCTTTTAAATATAGGCTTGTTCGAGATGCATCGGAGCCACGCAAACCAATCGTTGTATGACATCAAAGTACCACAAGAGCAATTCAAAAGCATAAAGAGTCGTCTGCTCTCCAATTGCTCTTGCGGTACTTTGATTTCATTTGCTGATCGGTCTTCGCAGTGCCGATGCACCTCGCATAAGCCTAATGGCTCCTTTCAAACTGCGGTCTGTAGTGGAAGCTCCACCTACTGACTTCATAGGTTCCCATGTTCGAGACCAGTAAGGTTTCAGGGCCAGTTCGAAACCAGGATCTGGGCACCGGCCCAGGATTTTTTTGAGTGGAAAAATGCGGTCCGGTTCCCAATTGGGCTCCGGCTCCGACACCAGCCCTGGTGGAAAAGAGGTATATATGAGGTTCAGGTCATGAGGCCAGAGTCCTCGTGGCAAACAGCAGGCCCAACCACCACTGGGCTCATAGGCTGGTTAAGTGGACAAAATCCTTGCCTGAAGGGCAGATATGTTCAAGCTATAAAATCTGGCAAAGGTAGACAGTAAGGACCAGCCAGCTGCCACACAGATGTCAACAATAGACACTCCACTGGACCATGCCCAGGAAGAGGCCATACCCTTGGTGGAGAAGGCTCTCACTCCAATGGGACACTGTAAACCCAAGGAGGCGTAAGCTAGAGCTATTGCATCCACTGTCCAGCGGGATCATTTTTGCTTCGTAACCGGCAGCTGCTCTGATTGCTGAAACTGGCTTAGAGCGCTCCACATAAACTCAGAGAGCTCGGACCGGGCAGAGTAAGTGCAAACCCCGCTCATCCTCAGAAGTGGAAAGGGTAATGGCCTGTGCTCTGAACAGAGTAGAGAGCACCTTACCTTAGAGGCACATTGCTATGAGTGCATGGGAGTGTAGTGGCTATCGATTGGCCTTTTTCTTGGAGAAAAGTATTGGACCGTGAGAGTTGTCTTCTGAGGCAAAGAGGTCTACCTCTACTCTCCCAAAGACACACTAAATAATTTGAACCATCTGGGGGTGAAGTCTCCATTCCCCTGGAGCGCGAGTAAACTGTTCTCTCATTGGTCAAAGTTTCACGGTTTATTTTCCGGGATTCCACTCAGCTGTCATCTGTCAGGATGGAACAACAACAGCTTCGCGGGCTTATTGTTGTTGTTTTTTTTGTAGATGTCGTTATA